CTCTCTCTCTCTCTCTCTCTCTCTCTCTCTCTCTCTCTCTCTCTCTCTCTCTCTCTCTCTCTCTCTCTCTCTCTCCACATAGACACATGCAGACAAGGTAATATAAGAATACCAGGGGTTCACCGGGATCTCGTTACAGTTTACAAAAATAGGAAAGCAAAACTCCGCCCCCAATCAAAGCGGCTCGATCCCCTAGCCGCGCATGCGCGCGGCCCTCCTCTCCTTTCGTAACGGTAGGTATAGACCTCGCGAAGGAGTAGGAGGGAAAGAGGAACGAGGAAGAGGGATATCTGTCCAGATTTAGGGGTCGGAGGAAGGGAATAACGGCAAGGCCGTATCCTAAGGCTGCGTTCGAAGCGGAAGACACCGAAAAGCAAGGGTAATTAGAAAAGAAAAACGGATAATAAGCCAAGGACACCGAAGAGTAAATGACGACCCTAGGAGGAACAGAGCAAACGAGATGGGAAGAGAAGACGAGAAAAGGAGTTTACAAAAGAAGAGGGACAGGAGAAGAGGAACAGGAGAAGAGGGAAAGATGAAGAAGGCGAGGAGAGGAGAAGAGAGGAGCAGGAGAGGAGGAGATCAGGCAGGGAGGAAAAGAGGAAAAGCAGAACGGGGGAGGAGTCGCCTACCGTCTTCACCCGAATAGAATTCCTGTATTCGGCACAGCTTTCACTCCAGAAGCAGCGATTATGACCGGGCGTTCTATTCGCGTGAAGACAGCAGCCACTAGCCGCGGCAGTTCCACTCCACTGCCTGCTCCACGGAAAAAAAAGAAAAAAAAAAAAAAGCCTACATAGTGCAAGCCCAAAGGGTATGTCAATAAAGAAAGAAAAAAGAGAAAAAAAAAAAAAAAAGACAAACCGTATGTCGACTACAACTGGGACGGGCAACAATCGCCCCCCCGCTCGCCCCGAATAGAACGCACGGTCAGAATCGCTACATCTCGACTGAAAGTTGCCCTAAGACAGCGATAATGCCCATGCGTTCTATTCGATTCGACGGACGACGGTAGGGTATCGTTATCGACTACGTGTGATGCGATCCCCCGGTCTGAGCCATGCTCTCAGAATCTGTTTTTTCCGGTGAAGTCAAGGTCGGGATATGCTCTCAGGGTTCTCAACCACCACCCTAATTGGTTTCATCATAAAGCTTCGACGATTTGGTCTCCTCATAAAAAGCCTGAAAGAGCCGAGGCTAACATTGTTCGCAGTTTAGACTCTGACCACTCTTCCTAATTCTCTATGCATATATACATCCATAAAACTCCCTCCCTCCCTTCCTTCTCCTCCCTGCCTTGCTTGCTCCTCTCCAGCGTCCATCATGATCATCGACATGATCGTCATTCCATATGTATAGAACTTATTCCTTCTCCTCTCCCCTTTTCCTCCTCCTCTTCTTCTTCTTCTTCTTCCTCCTCCTCCTCCTCCTCCTCGTCGTCGTCATCATCATCAGCCCATTTCCCTCGCCACCATCGCCACCATGTTTGTTCGGGTCGTTGGTCGATTTGGTCGCTCTTCAAGAGAGTGCATCGGATTCAAGATCGGTAACCTATTTGTGTCCCGTGTCCACACCTTTGAACATTGCAGCACCCCGTTGTGCCCATCTCTGCTCATACCTCACATCGCTTCTGCGTCTCGTATGTAGAGAAGGAGTGAAGGAGTGAAGGAGTGAAGGACAGAAAGAGAGATCCTACGCACACGAGCCGATCTCAAGAATCGAACACGGGACCTCCCAAATGGGAGTCGGACGCTCAACCAAACGGCTAAGCTGACTGGGATGAAAGTTCAGCCCCAAGACGCCCACCCCACCACGGATTTCTTCGCGTCCCCGCCCCCCCCCCCCCCCCCCAAAAAAAAGAAAAAAGAAAAAAAATCCAGAAAAA